AAACTAAAAAAATAAATATTAAAAAAAAAATTCTCTCTCTCTCTCTCTCTCTCTCTCTCCCCCCATGTCTTTGAAAAAAAAAAAAAAACTTCCAGTACCATATCTACCCTCCCCTCTCCAAGCCTTCTGGTCAAACTACCCACTTAAGTAAACTTATTCCTTCTGGCCTAAAAGGTCAGGGTTGGTGGAGATTTGAAGTGTCCAAGCCAAAAAGAAAAAACAATGGATTCGATAAACATAAAAAATTTGTATATGGGGCTGGGGTTGTGGCTCAGTGGTAGAACACTCACCTCACATGTGTGAAGCACTGGGTTTGATCCTCAGCACCACATAAAAATAAATAAATTAAATAAAGGTATTGTGTCCATCTACAACTAAAAAAGTTTTTTAAAAAAATTCATATACCAAAAAAATTATTCATTTCATAATTTACTTAGTTGATTATAACTATTAAAAAGCCCTGAACCTTTAGGTAATTTCTTAAAACAAATTTTAAAAGAATTTAAATGAATAAAAACATACAATCAAAAATTACTGGTTAGGGAGAAGGGGAGGTAAAGGAGAAATACTGGGAAATGATATTGGCCAAATTATATTGTCATACTGTGTGCATGTACAAATAAATACAAATCCAACCATTATGTACAACTATAATGTACCACTAAAAAAAAATGGGAAAAAATTACTGGTTAGCTACTAGGTAATATTTTTAAAGATAATTCTTACCTCCTTAGCTGATTCTGACTTGAGTTCTTCTGGGTCCAACACATCTATCCTGAGTTTCTCAAAATTTTCCCGGAACTCAGAGTATATTTGGTCATCCACTTTGGTGAGTTTCAGGAACTGTGGATCAACTGATGAAATAAGCTACCAGATAATAAAACAACATACAGAAGTTAGTCTCTGATTTACTACCTTCTCTTTACCTACTCTCCCACCAGTTATGGTTCTCAGGGCAGAAGATTTCATTAGGAAGTACTAAAACCTAGGTCTTGCATGAAATTATGACAAAATTTTAAAGGGCATACAATCCCCTCCGCCCATTTGACAACTGGCCCTATTTTTACCTGGCTATCTCTGTCTGTGGGTTGTTCATTAATTCCAAAAATATTTATGAATTGACTATTATGTATATGCCAAATACCCTTTTGTCAGGTAGCAACAAAATAGTACACAGAGAAGTAAAACTTCTCATCATCAAAACAAATTCCTTACCAGGTGCCATGGTACATGCCTGTAATCCCAGCAGCTGGGAAGGCTAAGGCAGGAGGATCACAAGTTCAAAACCAGCCTCAGCAATGTCGAGGCTCTAAGCAACTCAGTGAGACCCTGTCTCTAAATAAAATACAAAAAAGGTCTGGGGATGTGGCTCAGGGGTTCAGTGCCCCTGACCTTAATCCCCAGTATCCAAAAATCAAACAAACAAAAATTTCTTCCACCCCTTTATCTTGGCAAGATTCTTTTTTCAGTTAAGAAATACAAACTATCTCCAAAACGTAACTGTTTAACTTGCTGAGGATACCAAGTACCATACACTATGGTTAAACACTTAATTCTGCTTAAGGATTGAAGGCAGACAACTCACCTTGTAATAGACTTCAGCATGCTGCATTGCTCTCATGGCCCAAGCCATCTCAATATCAGGCTGTAAATGAGTGAAGGATGCCAGGTCAAAAATCCCCCAATCCTGCTACTGAGTAACAAATTAAGAAAGTCTGTGGATATCTAAACAGGACTACCAAAACTGTTAAGTACTGGCAAAGAATAAAAAGTGGGCAAATGGATTTGGATGATCTAATGATTCTTTTGTCCTTATGACAACCCAAAGCAGCTACCTACACAATGTAAGAAACAATGAGCCATTGGCTATCTTTTCCCAGCAGCTAGTGAATGTGTGGGACACTACATAAAGTGGTAGATAATTCAGTTTCTCAGGACTGAGTTAAATCACTGTAAAAGTTAAATAATACATCCACCTATACATTACTGTGTTGTTGGGAGGACAAAGATAACAGATGTAAAACTACTTTTCACTATTGAGTGTAGCGTGTCATAATCATCATTTGTGTTTATCAGATAGTCAATTTCCCACTCTATAACAACTGCAGAAATGAATCAGTATCATGAAGCAGGCCAGGCTATAAATATGTCTGATCAAGCACTCATTACATCCATGTACCTTATGTTATTCCATGTCTTAGACCATGAAGTTTACCTACTTGTCAATCCATGTCTTTGGCTATTTACACTTTGAGGATCCAGTTCCAAGTTCCACTTCCTCAGTGAAGTCTTCTACTGCCTCCATTCTTGGAGGTCTTTCCTTTAGCTAAACCCTTTGGATCTTAGGGCCTGACCCACTCATCCAGAATGTATGACATTCTTATTTAGGTGTTATTACTATTCTCAGTGTCCTTTTGTCATGTTTCTCAAAATACAACATGTGCTTTCTCACAGGGTATCCAAATCAGACACACCAGAAGCCAGTGCAACTTTGCTACAGAATGGAATCAACAGGAGGCCTTTAAAATAACAAACAAACCTTGATTCTTGGCTCCCACCCCCAAGACATTCTAATTTAGTTAATATGGACTGTAATATGGACATGGAGATGTTTAAAAGCTCCCCAGGTGATTCTACAATGTGGCAAAGTTAGTGAGCCACTTTTACAGATATTAGTTCTGTGTCTGCAAACAAAGATTAGAACGAACTGAAAGAAGATGCGGTTTGGGCTCTACGGAAGTTATCAGGGAAGGGGCTTAAAATCTACTGGTAGGACTTGCAGATATCCCAGGCTAGCTTGATGGGTGGGAGCTGTGGTTGAATCATACTCACATCATTGCCATAAGATTCTGCAGGGAGAGAAAGAGCATGTGCCACGGACACCAGCTCCCCGGAAACCTGAAAAGAAAAGAAAAAAAAGAAAAAAGAAAGAAAAAGCAGGGTCGGGGGAGAGTTCAAGGCTCGAATGGGCTCGACTTCTCTACTCACCCAACCCCAAAGCAGGGTCTCACCGGTTCATCGATTCCGCTGGTAGCCTCCATGTTGCAGCGCAGAAAGCGTGTTTTCAGCTTCCCGGAAGTGACTTTTTGCCTGCTCCTTACTCGGTAGGTTGCAAAGTGGAGGAGAGGGCGGGACGAGTGTCGTTCTCCTGCGTCTGCGCCTGTGTGAGGTCTCTGTAACCCGGAGGTAGTCAGTAGCCCCGCCTCACCTGCCCAGCGCTGCCTAGGAGATGGCACGCTGTTTGCGTATTCTAGTTACAGCAGAGCTCTGAGATGATGAGCTGCTCACTGATTCGGTGGTGATCTTAGGAAAAGCCTGAGTTAAAATAGCGCAGCTTTCGTGTCCCCAGTGCGCTATGTGTCTAGCAGAAGTTAGAATTCATACTCTCCATTCATGCTCGCGTACACCACACACACCCCGTAACCTAAACCGAGGAATAAGTCACAGGCTTGGTGCTGCGGATGGAATGCAGCGATGAAGAATTTAGTCCTTGCTTTGGAAGAATTCTGTTTAGTGAAGGCACAGATCATATAATGATAACAGTGCAGCATCATTTGCTGCGGGAGCATGAATGGGGGATACCTAAACTCAGTCATAAGGGCACTTAGCCAAGTACGTAGGGAAAAACACTCCAGTCTGAGGGAGACGCAAATGCAAAGGTATTGATGAATAAAACAACGTGATATCTTGCTGGGAATTGCAAAAAAAAAAAAAAAAAAAAAGTATAGCTAGAGCAAGAGTGCAGCCAGGGCCTTTGTGATGAAAGTTGGAAGTTTACTCTAAAAGCGAAGGTGAGATACTAAAAGGCCTTTGAGGCCAGCCTCATGAGCAGCCTTAAATTTTAGATCCCTCTATCATGATGTGGAAGATTAATTTAAATAAGACAAAATTGGAGGCAGACCAGCTCGAAGATAGTAGGTGATGAAAATGAAGGCAATGACTGCTGAGATACATCTTGAAAATAAGGCTAGAATGACTAGGCCTTTTTGACTAATTGGTTATGTAGAATAAAGGAGAATTAGAATGCTAGTTTGTCTCTCAGGTTCTAGAATAGGATGAATATCATTGAGCTAGAATACAAAGGAGGAGAGATGACCAATGTAGAATGGATCATCCACATGATGCTGAATGTTGGCAATTAATTTGAGGAGTTGAGATTGAAGAGCATCATGGCACACTCAGAATTGCCAAAGCAGAAGGAGACCTGAGCAGAGATATAAATTTGATAGCTGGTGCTAATACTTCAGATTTAGTTGAGTTTTCTCAAGGAAACTATAAAGTCACAAAGAACCATTTATGAAGAAAAGGAGGGGGGTGAAGACCAACCAAAAAAAACAAGAGTTGTCAGTGAGACATCAGCAAACAACAAAGCATAGGATAAAAGAACTTCCAGGAAGTAGTGGTGAACATAGCCCCATACCCTGAGTACTTTAATCCCAGAAATATTGAGAGAACATCGACAACCTTAGCAAAAATAGTTTTAGTGGAATGGTGAGGGCAGAAGTCAGATGGCAGTGGGTTGGAGAGGGCATGGGAAATGAAGAGATGACAGTGACCTTAGAAAGTTTTTCCAAAGATTTGCAGCTAGAAAAAGACATGAGACCTAGTGATATTTTATTTTAATTGTGGTTAAGAACAGATAACATTGGGCGCTGGGGATGTGGCTCAGCGGTAGCGCGCTCGCCTGGCATGCGTGCGGCCCGGGTTCGATCCTCAGCACCATATACCAATAAAGATGTGTCTGCCGAGAACTAAGGCAAAAATGTTTAAAA